ACTATGTTTCAGGTATATCAATTAAAGTACAGTAATACTTTAAAATTAATAATACTCTTTCTTAGGAATTTTAAAATCACTTTTTTCCTTTTTTTCTTTGGTGGGGGTACAAGTCATATCTGTCAATGTATAGCATTAAGGTCTACACAATCTGTGTTGGTATGTCAATCCCAGAAGTGCTCAGGGCATCATGTGATATTGTGTATTAAACCCAGGACTCCGAAATGCAAAGTGTGTGCTCAGCCTATTAAGATCTCTGTCTCTCTGTCTCTCTGTCTCTCTGTCTCTGTCTCTGTGTCTCTCTCTCTCTCTCTCTCTCTCTCTCTCTCTCTCTCTTTCTCTCACTCTCTCTCTCATAAGAACATTTTTAGGAACTAGCAAAAGTACTAGTTTTCTGGAAATATGATGTGTTTAAAACATACTACCCTCCAAAATAAACTTTGGAAAATGCTTATTTTCTTTTCAAGGATTTTCAAACTATTGTATTGAATTTACCTTCTCAGATGTTGGGATAGCTGATCTTTAGAGACGGTTGCAATATTTTCTAGCTAATGGATTCACTGGGCAGGTAGAAATTACTTTCAAGGGAGAATCTACTTTTAAGACAATTCACAAGTTTCTGTCTGCTCAGTCTCTTGCTGTGTATACCCTGCCGTGGACTGTCGTGGCAGTTCATTTCCCCTAGAACAAGAAATAAGAGACAGTGAGGATCTGGTGGTGCTCTACTCTCAGTGATCACTCCTCAAGGACCATATGGGATGCCCGAGATCAAACCTGGGCTGTCTTCATCCAAAGTTGTTCTATTGCTTCAATCCTAAGAAAAACTTTAAAGAAGCAATACATCATGTTGTAATCTATTTGCTAGATCTAACTCAGAATTAAGAAATGGTTCTAGATAGAATGTAAATTACAATGGGAAGAATAATTGGAACCATCATTTATAGGCAGGACATAGCTATAACTTGCTCAGAAAATATTGCTTAATTTGTATAAAGGGAAATTAAAAAATACATATTTTTTTATTTTGGAAACATGAACTCGAGTAAATCAATAGTCTCTTATGTAGGTAGTGTCTACTGATTTTATACTGTGAGTATGGCAGACTGTTTTTATATTCAAAACTATGCAGGGAAGTTCTTAGGGTTAGAAAGAATTATCTCAAACAGGACAAAAGTTAGAGAAATAATTAATGGAAAAGCAATTGTGGAAAATGAACACAACTGGTGAGTGTGAAAAAAAAATTGAGTTTTGTTTCCTTAGGTTTGTATGAGTAAGCTCTATATTGATGACCCAAAAATCAAAACAGGTTTTCATACTTCTGAAGATCAGGAGACTCAGATCAAAGTGTCAACTGGGATGAATTACTTACAAGATGCTATAAAGGAGAACCAAATTTCTACCTTTCTAAGTCTTATGACACTCAGCTTTCCTTGACCATGTCCACAAAACATACATCTCTGCCTCTGCTTCACATCACCTCTTCCTCTGCTCTTCTGTATCTCTAAAATACCTCTCATAGGAATATTTTGTCCTTTGATTTAGAACCCATCCTCAGTAAAGGTTATCTTATTTTAGAATCATTCTTCATATCTCTGAAACTCCTTTTTCAATTAAGATAATATTACTACTTCCTGGGGATTAGGTGTGGATATATGAATGAAGTAGAAGTGTAGGCTACAGCCATCCTATCATAGAGACAAAAATTCTTTGTAGTATTATCACAATTTACAATGCCTATTTTTTTTTTTTGCTTTTTGCGTCACACACGGCATTACACAGGGGTTACTCCTGGTTTTGCACTCAGGAATTACTTCTGGTGTTGCTCAGGCGACCATATGGGATGCTGGGAATAGAACCTGGGTTGCCACATGCTAGGCAAATGCCCTACCTGCTGTGCTTTCACTCCAGCCCCTCAATGCCTTAAATTTGACTAGAAGTGAAATATCAAAGGAAAAATACTATGTTGTCTAGTGCTATATTAATCCAAATATTTTTTGCATTTCATAGCAAACTTTCCTCTAATGATTATATATATGTATATATATATATACACATATAAATATATACATATACACACAAATTTATCAAATTGGAATTAGGTGTTTTGTGAATCTGTGTTTCATCATCATTCACTGTTTGAAGTCAGTGGAGATTATGTCATGTCAAAACTCTCTTCCACATTGTCTGGTCTCACAAACTTTTGCTTTAATCTCCTTAGAACAGTTAGGATATCAAAGGTCACTTTTATTTCAAAAGGAAGAGTCATGTTCCCAATTTTATTGTCTTTGTAGGAAGATTAAATGAGACTGTCTATGATGTCAATTGCCACAAGATGATAACTTTTTCTCAAATAGTACGGTTTTGAAACCCAAACAGGTATTTTGGTTGTCTTTTTTGTTTGATCTTGATTAGTTTATATTTTTTTTTCTCAAAAATGTGTTATTGGTCTTAAGATTTATTTTAAAAACCTTATTAGGTAGTCATTTTGCCCAAAATTTGAGTGTTTCTTATCAATGTGTTTGGTTAACATGGCCTTATACAGTATCAGTATCTCCATTAAAATGATAAATGAATGGATAAATTCAATCTAGTAAATCTATAATAAAAGACAATCTAGTCATACCTGAATTCATGAGGATTAAGTGGAACATTCAATTAAAGCAAATTTAGGATGGGGAAAAATATCATGGCATGTATATAACAGTACACTGATTTGTACATATACATGGGTAAGTTCATCCTATAGTGCTATAGTGGGGAATATTGAATATCCAACGGAATAATCATGTAAGTCAGTGTTTTACTAATGATAGTAATTATGCATTAAATTTTTGTATCAGTCACTCTAATATAGGAGAATACTCTATACTCTGGGTACTTCCAATTTTGATTTTCATTCTATCTACAGTGCCTCACACATTGTTTAAGTAAATATTTACCACATACCTGCATGTATCTTGAATGGCTTTTGGAATTAATTCACTCAACATCCAAGCACAATAAAGCATAAATATCCTGAAGTTAAATCAAATAGTTCTAGTAATGATGGAACATATAATCAGATGTGTGTATACATAAATATGATTTTTTTTCTTAGACAGTCTTTAAGAATTGTAGAGTCCTAAAGTCTAAAGCTGAAAAAAACGTGAGTGTCCATCTGGCTATATTAATTTTTTCAGGACACATGCGGCTATTATCCACCTGATCTGTTATGCCACATCTTCTTTAGCATGTGACAGCTAAGGTGATGCTGATCAAAAATATTGCAGTCACTCTTAATTTCACATACACAGAGATGTTTAACAAGTGACTTTTCAGAGCCATTATGAGAAAACACTAGCAGCCTTGGACAGGAGGAATAATATATGAGAACTAGGTAAATAGTATCCAAGTTCACCTTGATCATATTACCCATACAGTAGCCCCATCCTATATTGTAGTATTTTTGAAGAAGAAACCGAAAGAAACTTCTGATGATGACAATTCTGATTTAAATCAAAAGACACAATGAGTTCAACTTTAGTTTACTGTTTAATATGAAGAAAACAATTTTTCAAGGCCAAAAGAATTTAGTTGAACAAGTCCACTTTTTTCCCCTTGCACCCGCTTTGCTAAGATCCTTTGTCAGTAAGTTAACATAAGAAGGAGTTAAAGGAGAAACTACCTAGGAATGAGTGTGAGAGAAAAATGGTAAGTAGAAATTCTTGAATCCATTACTTCCCTCCCTAACTTAGCTTTCCTCTTGGTTTATTACCCAGAAATGTGGAAAGATGAGGGAGATGAGTTTAGCTTGTTCTGACATTACTTGGAGACTGAGGAGTGTTGTGACTTCCTTAATATTTCTACCCCAGAAAGGGAATTGAAACATGAGTTGTGTGGTTAGGTCTTGTAATGAAAAATAAAGGAATGATAGAGAACAGTAGAATCATATTATAAGCGTAATGGCAAGTGTGCTGAAGTTTTTAGCCACTTGCAAAATTGAGAGATACTATCAGAACTGTGCAAATACATTGCTCTGACTAATTTTCGAAGGTAAAATATGAAAATATTTATAAAACTGAGGATCCTGCTATGAATAAAATGTATTTTCTGATATAATAAGATAAAATGAACTATAACTTGGATCTATTTAAATGAATATATAAAGATGTTTAAATAATAAAGAACTGAACAAAAATATTATAACAGTGAAATCATCTATAATTCCTGGATTGGAATTAGAGTCATTTAAAATATTGAAGAATATTTAATAAACAAAGTAAAAACTACTTTATCTCAGAATATTTTATATGTGATTCACTTATCTAATATGTTGTGGATATTATATTTTATTGCCCTTTTTTTAGACTACACTTTACAATAAAAGGCTACTGTTTAATATGAAGAAAACAAGTTTTCAAGACCAAGAGAATTTGATCCTTTTTAAATAATATTCAATTTCAAACAATAATTTTAAAAGAATGTATTTTAATCCAGTTGTGCTTTTCAGTTGTAAAAACGATGTTAACTGTGTATTCTTTTGTAGATTCCTTAAGAACTTAGTTGAACAATTCATTGATATAAAGGAAGAGTTAATTGGGAAAGAAGCATACTAATATACAAAGCATTTCTCTTACATGAAGCTCTAGAAATATTCTATTGTCAATCCAAACAGAACAAACTAAAATGAGATAATTGGGAAGGTGCCCATAAAGTCAGTCTGAATATATTATCACAACTATATATGAGATAATATTTGTTTTAAAAAGATTCTATGGCACTGTAAACTCAGTCTCATTAGAGACTGCATTTAAAAGGCTTATAAAGTTACTCATTAATGTTATCTTGTTGTATCTCCACAGCTTTTTCATTAAAGAAAATTCAGCAGAAAGCATTTTCTCCTGATAGCGGGAACCAATTTGCAATAAATGTTCTGGAAACCACTAGGGAAGCCATTACTGAGGTCTAATAAAAACAGACAAGCGTAACTTGTTCTATATTTTTGTTTCAATCACATACAGATGAGACCCCGCTTTCCACACCAACCGCAAGAGACAGCCTTGACAAACTTTCTCTAACTGGGCATGGACAACCACTACCTCCGGGCTTTCCATCTCCTTTTCTGTTTCCTGATGGATTGTCTTCTATAGAGACCCTTCTGACTAACATACAGGTATGCACTTTTGCATTCTAAAGGAAAGGAACAGGGACGATCCCATTGTAATACTCCCCAAATTTATATTGTTATAACCTAATCTATTCATGAGACTAACTAAACCATGTTATTAAACTTTCTCAAGCCCTTAAAGATCTTAAATCCACTGCATTAATCAAATTGCTTTGGAAATGCTCAAATTATGCATATTAAGCCAAAATAAAAACTTAAGTGAAAATGACATGGGCATTTAAAAAATCATTCTGCCTAAATGTACTACTTACTCTCTACTAATGGAGAAATCTAATGTTTAGGTTTGTCTGATTTACGAAATGATGGCTCACCAGTTTTAATAAATATTTAGTTATTTTTAAACTGCTGCCTTCCAACAAGGAAATGGTATGTTTGGCAATTTAAAATATGTCTAATATAAAAGAATCCCCCCCTCCAAATTCTTTCTTTCATAAGTAAGTTTGTTTCAGTTAATAAGGTTTCTTCAAAGAATAGACTTCAAAAAGCCATACAAACTTTCCACGGATTTCCTATGTAGTCCCCAGGATGTATACTTCACGTACAGTACATTATGAATCAAAAATACTTACAGTTAACAATAACAGAGAGCATGGAGCCAAAATAATAAGAGTGTTTGGAATAAAAGAAAGCAGAATTTTCTTGCCCACACATGAAGTGATCATGTGGAACACAGATGGTGACTGCCATTTCCTTCTCCATATTTGGAGTTGTTAGTAGCATAACTATGTTTATATATACCAAACTGGCATTCTTTTTCTTTTTTTCAGTTTACACTCTAGCACCCTGCTCTTAGTGATATTTTTCTGTACACATTTTGTAGCACATTAAACTTTTTCCCAGGAGAAATGTAATTAACTTTATTTACCTCTTCAAGGATGTAACAGAAGGCCTTCCATGTAACAATCTTCTTATCTATGAATATGGTATTAGAGTATCCAGAACTGTGTTCAACTTTATGGTTTCATAGCTCAGTAACTGGAATAAATTATCATTTTAACCCAACCTGAATCAAATCCACATAGTTTGATCACATTTTAAAATAAACACAGACCTTTTTCTTTACATTTCACACACAATTATTTTCAGTAACTCTGTGTTTTTCATGAGTCTCTTTTATGTTCAGTTAAATTCTTGTGAACATAGCCATTTCAAAATATTCTGAAAATTAAAGAAATAATTCCATATGAAGCAATGAAGAATTTAAGAGTATACTTAGTATTCTTTTTCTACTTGTATGCGTTTTGCTAACTAAAACATCTTTAACTCGAAAAATGGTGATACGACTTCAATTTCAGCAAAATAAGGACTCCAGACTTTTATTCACAGAATTCTACTTACACATCCCAAGAAGGACTTTACACACAGACTCTTATAATGATAAAGGTGAACACCACATCTTTGTGTTAAATGGACATACATTTGGGGTGTTTATCCAACTAGTGATACCCATATTTATGATATTATCTGCATCATCTCAAACTGAAAAATAGAAGTATTTTTTAAATCCTGTGTAAAATGTATAGTTGAATCAAAATTATTTTACTGATACTATCACTAGATTTAAATATGCACACTCACTCCTTTCCTTCCCTCTTTCCTTTCTTCCTCCCTCAAATCTTTCTTTTTCTCTTTTTCTTTCTTTTTGTCTTTCTTTGTTTTCTCTCTCCCTCTCTCTCTCTTTTCTTTCTCTCTTTCTCTGTCTCTCTCTGCCTCTCTCTCTCTCTCTCTCTCTCTCTCTCTCTCTCTCTCTCTCTCTTATTTTGGATCACACCCAGAACTGTATAGGGACATTTTCTGACTTTATACTCAGTAGTGAACCTTGGGAGCGCTCATAGGACCATATGTGGTGCTGAATATTAGAACCAGGGACTGCATCAAAAAAGGCAAATACCTTTCCTTCTGTACACTATCTGTGCCCCTCTAACTCTCATTTTTTAATGAGGACATAGTTTTGAAAGAGTTGATGATAGGACAATAGTCAAGACAAACTAACTTTTTCTGGTTCCAAATCATAGGGATATGGTTCCAGTAAAGTTAGAACACCTTCAATAAGAGCACTCTATTACAAATAAACCATGGTTTTCCACTTCCACCTTACATTATGCGCATATTCATATGGGTTTGGGTATTATATTTTTTAATTTGTGTCTATTTATATAAAATAAAATATGTACACATAGATTAAATTAAAATTGAAGTTTTACTGAGGTCCATGCAGAGTTATACACAGATATAATAAGTAGCAATACATACAAATGCTGGATTTATGGTAACAATGATTTCACACAACTTTACATAAGGTAATACATTCTAGTTATTTTTTTATTGTAACACTTATTGAGTTATATTAATATCCATGGAAAGGCATAGAATATTTGAAGATGTTATGACTAGAATATTGAAAACACAGCATGAATATCTTTGTTGCCTAAATTTTAACTTGGGCAATTACAGCCTCCCTGGATTCATTTTCTTTGTACTTTCAGTGATATATAATTGTGTTCTCTGATTTATAATTCAAATAACAGCATATATTTTTGTGTGATAAATTTAAAACTATCTGCTTTGGAGAGGTTTTTTCTATATGGCATTGAAAAGAAGTGAAGTGAAAATGTTTTAATTTTTTTCAAACCATATAATTCTGTCTGAAATTAAACTTTATCCCTGTGTGTCATTTTAATCAAACCCAAGGCAATGGAAAATATATAATGCAGTTAGTCTACATTTTTCTTAGAATTAATGATCCCCAAACTCACCAAAATTACTTACTTGTAGTATTAGTTCTACTACTCAATAATTGAGTTTTATGATATTCCATAATTTGATAATTCTCAATTTAAGTTTTGTAATTGTTACTATAGATGTTCCTTCCATGACATTAACAAAAGTGAATTTTTCTAAGTGTTGCCTTTTGTGCTTTCAAAGAAAACCTATAGGAAAATATTACCTGCTTCTATTTAAAAATATAGATATGGGGACTTGAAAATTTTGGTTATATACTCATAGAGAAGTTATATACTCAGATTTCTTCTAATAGAGTATTTTTGAAATTAAGAATTATGATAAGAGTAATTTTCTTTTAGTGATATAAATACATTCCAAATTTTGATTTTTTAGAATTTTTAAGATAATATTTTAAAAGGAATTTTGTTTGTATTAATATTTGCAATGATTCATTATGACTTGCTCATTCAAACACATCCCTGGAGAACTCTCTGTGATATTATAGTGAGGAATCTAAAATTTGAGAATCAGTTAACTGATGTGATAACTTTATACTTTGACTTTCATTTAAACATACTCAAAGAAGAATTTCAATTACTAGTCTCATTATAAATTTTCATATTTTTAATGATAACTAGAACTTTTTGCATATAATATTGGTTTCAAACACTTTACATTATTTATCTTACTACAAAATTACTTAAAACGACTTAATATAAAGATAGTAAAGAGGTTTGGTACAAAGACATTCAGCTTTTAATATTTCAGAACTGTGCAATAATAATTTTGTATAGTTTAGAATAAATTCATATTTTATTTTAAGACACCTTTAATTATATGGGCTGGAGTGATAGCACAGCAATAGGGCGTTTGCCTTACAAGCGGCGACCCTAGTTCGATTCCTCCGCCCCTCTCAGAGAACCCGGCAAGCTATTGAGAGTATTTCACCTGCATTGCAGAGCCTGGCAAACTACCCGTGACGTATTCGATATGCCAAACACAGTAACAACAAGTCTCATGATGGAGACGTTACTGGGCCCGCTTGAGCAAATCGATGAACAACGGGAGGACTGTGACTGACTGACTGTGACTGAAAATGATCAAGAGAATATAAATCAATGATCAATTAACACATTGCCTTCAAAATATGGATAGGCTTGAGTTCCTATTATTCATTGTTTGGGGGAGTGGTTACACGTGATGCTTGGGGTCTACTCCTGGCTCAGTAATTGGGTTCAGTTCCAGGAGTTCTCAGGGAACAGTGTGGTACCAAGAAAATGTCCTGGGGTTCCAGCATGCAGAGCAGATGAACTATTCTGTTCTTATTACTACTTTTCATGAGATCATTAAACAATTATATAAGTAGGCATTCTAAATAGTTCTTAATTTGATGAGTAAAATACCTCTTTAAAATATTTACATCACATATGATGGCAATAATAAAATTATTAATATATTTATTAATATATCAAACATATTTCATATTTTGTCAGTGATTACAAAATCTGAAACTCTAATATTCATTGATTAATTTTAGTGTGGCAGTGTAAGGGAAAAAATACGTGTCTCCTCACAACATTCTTTGTTTCTAACACTTCTTATCACCAAATGACATATAGTTTTTCCATACTGAGTATTTCTGTGGTGCCAACTGCATGTCTGACAATTTAATGCCATTCTCAGTTTATCTTCTTTGAGATAGCATGAGATGTAATTACTTGAGTTCATCCTATAAAGTTGCCCCACTTCTGCAGATGTCAGTCAAGGGTTCAGTTGTGATCTGAGATCTGGACTTTATGATCTATGATCTATGATCACAAAGTTGTAATCTTTTGATCAGGGTTTCTGAGAGATTTCTCTTTTTGATAAAATTGGTTTTCTAGAGTAGGTCATGCATCTTAGAAGGAATTTTTGCTTACTATCATCCCAATTATTATAGAGGAATCAAACTCAGAACAGCCAGAGATGAATAGGACAATGTGCGTGGGGAACAGCTTAACGCTTCCACCACTGACATATTAACCAATCCAGAAGCACTCATCCTTCGGAGTTTTTGTGGAAGTTTCATTATATAGACTTGATGGATTAATTCACTGCTGATGATTAATTCGCCTTCTGGCTCTTGTGTCTTGTATGGAGATCAGAAGAGTGGGGCTAAAAGTTCCAACCTTTTAATCATGTTTTGCTCCCCTATAGAAAGTTCATTCATTGCAAAATCATATTTCAAAAATGAAATCACATCATTTCCAAAATCATATTTCTTATGTGACTATGGCGACACATTAACCATTTGAATGAGTTCATATATGGTAGTTGAGTCTAGATTTAAACACAAGCTCTCTGATTACCAAAACAATGTTATCATATTACAATTTATAAAAATCACAAAATTGTAAGCAATTTTGGCCGAGTCCATCATTGGTCAACTTTGGATAACATTAACCTATATATATTTTTTCTATAAGAGTTCCTTATTTAAAGTGACACTTTTCTCTTCAATCTAGGAAACAAATATTTTAAATATACTGTTAAAAATATGCATTACCTGGGGAATTCTGGTATTGGCTCATTCAAATGGCCCACTTGGCAGCTTGAACAGGTTATCCTCCTCAATTTGTTTTAAAATATGTAAAATATCTTAAGTAGAATTAATGAGTACTAAGGTTCTCTACAAGTAGGACATTTTATTGTCATTAGGCACTGCATATTATTTAGCCAAATTTTTGTCACATGAGCTTTGGTGACTTTTAAGTAATCTTATTTTTCTGATTCTAAAATAATTTTGTAGGAAATACATACATGTCCCAAAACAATAAACATTTCCTCTAGAATATAACTGATTAAAAAACTTTTCTTTCAGACAGAACTATTTTAATTCCTCTTACATAAACATACATATATAATATATATGTGTGTGTGTGTATTTCTGTGTGTGTTTGTGTTTGTGTATAAATATATTTTCTTGGTTATAGAAATAGTGGAAGCATTGCTAGATACATTATAGTGCCATTTGAAAAGATACATGTATAGAGAGACTAATTTTCTGAAAAAATGATTAAACAACTTAATTTTGAAAGTAGTATGACAACCATCATGACTGACTTATGGAGAAAATTCTCAGTTATGGTCCCCAAGTATTGCTGTGCCATAAGGAAGCTTAAAATGTGTCTCATTAGAATTGTCATCATTCATCTTCAACATCATAAGTACTGGCCTCCTCCTTGGATAAAAAAATTCATGTTTTAAATCTTTTGTCTTTTAGTGTAAGTCACATTGTCATCACAAAATTTTGCTCTGTACAGCCTGCCCATGTGAGAACTAGCATTTACTGAAACCCTTAATACATTCTACAGCTGGAAAATTTAGAGAAGTTACACAATTCTGAAGGCACTACACCATAGATGGTTAAAATGGTGTCCCAATGATTTGTAGATATTGTGAGAATTCCTTGTTATTGCTTTTCCCAGCTCCCTGCTGTATTGAAATTTAATCTGTTTTCTGTATTTTGTGCAGCAGAGCTGTCACGGTCAATAACATATTTTTGCATATGCATCAGATTGACTCTAGTGCAGTTTTTGTTCACACTGGACTCCTACTGATCTGTACTGATTTAAAGTCTAAAAAAATGAAACTTAATTTTATATTGCTTATAAGTAGTCCCGAGAGAGTATTAGATCCTAAAAGCTAATATTTTTCAGACATAATCAGCAGGAAAAGGTAATGTATTGCGATTAGCAGTATTAGCAGAAACTATAACAAAAGGATGCAGTAAACATTAGTGCTCTTAGCAGCTTCATACTTTCTAAAAAATATTATTATAAAATTGCACAAATTAGAGTTGTAGTTTAACATTATTCAACATGTTTATTCATAATGATTGTTTCATATTTAAAGAACACCAAAATACTGTGTTTTGTCAGCCAAGGATAATAATAGTTTAATAGTAATTTATTTTAAACAGCTACTGATAATACAACCAATCAACACATTAAGTGGTGCCAACATTGGCATCTTGCTAAATAATCTCTAGGCATTGCACAGAGAGTACATCTTTCAAAGATAAGTCAACAAGAGCAATCAGAGCAGAAAATTAGAATTTGGTATCTTAGAATTAAAATACAGCTAAACTAAAGTTTTAATTGGGGTGATCTAAAAGGGCACTTGATGTAATGATCTCTTTCATTTGTTACTAATTGTTTGTTCCTGATGAAGAAGAAACATACACAGGAATGTTGCTGAATTGAGTTAAGATGGCAGTTTCCTTAGCAGCTATGTTTTATTATTAAAAAACAAAAAAAGTGGGGAGGGACAAACTATCCTTAAGAAATCTTCCAGTTTGTCATTATGGGGGAAGTTCAGAGTCAGGTATAACAAATATGAAAGAATTAATACGTGTTTGAAAGGAGAATACATGTCGCTTATGATAATGTTATCTTTGTGGATTGAACTCAGAGAACATCATCAGTGGACTGATAAGTCAAGCTGGAGTTGAACTTATTATTTAAGTTCATCTAGTTTGCTTATCTAGTCTCATATGGAGGGGTTACATCTACAAATACATCTACAAAAGACACAGCCTCCATTTCATTTTTATCTTTCCACTGAAATGTTATCATATGTACAGATTGTAGCACTGTAGCACTGTCCTCCCGTTGTTCATCGATTTGCTCGAGCAGACCCAGTAACGTCTCCACTGTGAAACTTGTTGTTACTGTGTTTGGCATATTGAATACGTCACGGGTAGCTTGCCAGGCTTTGCCGTGCGGGCGAGACACTCTCAGTAGCTTGCCGGGCTCTCTGAGAGTGGCGGAGGAATTGAACCCGGGTCAGCCCAGTTGGCCGCGTGCAAGGCAAACGCCCTACCACTGTGCTATCACTCCAGACTAAGGCAAATTATTTTCTACTTCAGGATACTGTTTTGAATAGCTCAGTTAATAAGGATAGAAATTATACTCCAACAAAAAACACATGCTAAATCAAGTTATATGTATATAGATGTAAATTGTATAATCAGCTGCATTACATAAATAAATACACTCTGCTTTTACCAAGTGCTCTAGAATTATGTATTATGCTGTCAAACTCTTTCTTTGAAGTTCTATTATGTCACTTTAAATATGCCTTTTAAAAATAATGCAATATAATGCCAGCATGGGTTAGTTCTCATTTATACATATATGTATGTATGAAAGTATTATGATTTCTGGGGGGCCTTGGGGACATAGTACAAAATAAAAATAAAAAGACCCCTCTATCTCAGAATGTTGTTATTTTAGTAGAAGCACACTATTAACAGCAATAAAATAATAAATGTTGTCGTACAATCAAATAGTATTCATATTTTTAGAAAAAACAGCGAAGTTGTTTTGGAGAGCTATTTTAGATAAAAGGATAAGAGATTTTGCTTAATTGAGCGATAGTAAAATGAAGTAAAACCCTGAACTGTAGGAAAATCATGAGGAAAAGCATTCAAAAGGGAAGAGAAAGAGAAAAGCTTCTGGTGTCAAAAGTAATTGGTGTCTTGAGGAATAAAAGAGGAAAATTGTGCCTGGTATAAGTTAAGTAAGGATTCGTAGAGAAAAGACTTCAGAAGATAGGGGAAGGAGTACGACAAAGGTCATGTGCAGTTGCATAGACCATAATCGATCACTACTTATGGAAGGGTTTCCTCTACTTCTTATTTTTATACTTTATGCATAGCATTGAGCTAGATATTCTTAGTAGCTGTCACTGAAGCTGTTTATAATATTCATATATGTTTTTCTTAAATTATTTGATTTAGAGTTCTTATGTGCTAAATCCTATTGAGTGAGTGTACAGCTAGAGTGAAAAAAATTGATAAGTAGATTTTTTTTTGAAAAGTGATTTGAAATAATGAATTTAAATGTGTTTTTTACCAAAACACCACAATTCTGAATGTGTTTTTTGTACAGGGGCTTTTGAAAGTTGCCATAGATAATGCCAGAGCTCAAGAAAAACAGGTTCAACTGGAGAAAACAGAGCTAAAGATGGATTTTTTAAGGGAAAGAGAACTAAGGGAAACACTCGAGAAACAGTTGGCTATGGAACAAAAGAACAGAGGTATTTTTATGCTTCCAAATAAATGTAATGCTTTAAATAAATTACTTGATGTAAAACTGGTGATTTACTGTGAAACTGTAGCTTTTTAAAAATTAATATTCTTGGCTAAATTCTTTAGCAAATTCAAATTTTTGGTTTTTGTTGAGTTATCAATTTCTAAAATGCATGATTTCTCTTATGTTCATACTTCAGGGAGTTTATATATTAATTATTATGTCATTAATCAGATATTTTATTTACTTACAGAGTTTAACAAATACATAATTTCAAAACAAAAATTAGCTCTTATGAGATGACAACCACAAAGAAGAGCTTTATACTCATTCACAGTTTCCTTTGCAAAACTCAAGTGTTAGTGATAAAGCTAAAACAAAATAATTAAATTTGGGGGGTTAGAGATAATTGATCCTGATTTTAACCTTGGTACCCCAAATAGTTCCCCAAGCTCACCATGTGTGATCTATAAAAAACTTATTTAGTAAGTATCAATTGAAAATGTAGACTGATAATATCCAAATAGATGACTAAAGTTGAGTATTTAATTTTCTTTTTTCATGTCTCATCATGTCCACCAGGATCAAATATACATTTATAATGTTAATCAATAGGAATTTTATTAACAAAATAATTATAAGTCAGTGAATTACTTCTTGTAACTTACTTGATATTGTAGTTACAGAAGTTCATTTATGTCTGTGCATTTATTTTATAATAACCTTCAAGAAGACTTTTATTTCATTCAGTTGCCTCTTTGTCTCAGCTGTAAATTCTCCTTAAGTGTTACAGAGTAGGAGATTTTTTCCTCATTTTAAGCATCTGTTTGGCATGACCATTTAAAAGTCATTGTTTCTCTTTTGCTTTTAAAACTGGTAGATATTTTCATTTGTTTCCATGAAGCAACAGTTAATGGTTTCCTGGAATGATATTGATTTGGGAAACTGTTACCCTAGGTATATAGCACAATTATCAATAATGTGTTTTCACATAGATTTAGTCACATAGATTTAAGTACTAAAACAATTAGAACAGAATGTACATTGATAACAGGATGTATTCTAAACATGAAATTTGGTCAAATGGAAACATTTTCCATGAAAGAGCCATGTTTGATTTTATTTTTACTTTTTTCAAATTAGACCTAGATGCAGACTATGAATTCCAAAAATAATCTTTTGGTTACATGAATAACTTCATAATGTTATTGGTCAAACCTGTCCATGGATTTGTATTGTTTTATTCTTTGTAGCCACTAGAGGGCAAAACATTTCATAGATCACACCATGAGCCTCTGATTTATTTAATTGTAAACAGTAAGTAAAGGGGACAGCTATCAATAATGATCTATTATGAATGTATCTGTTGAAACAGTGTCTTACCCTAAAAAGAACACATGGCAATTCCATTTGCTTCAGTCACATAAGAGAAAACAATGAGACATCAATGCAAGGCACTGGGTATTGAGTTTTTAGTGCCATAGGAGTGTACAATTCAAATAAATAATTCAGAAATTGGTTCTTCTTTAAAAGGCTTATAAACAATCATGTCTGAAAAGGTAAATAGGAGCCCAGTCACTTTGTTAAAGGTGAACATATGGCTGCTACGCCACTGAAGGAAACTGGCATTTATTTTGAATCAGTTTTAATTGTCTTTCTAAGACTGGCTAAGGTGGATTTTGCTTTAAGAAAAAAGTTTCTATAAGTATATAGAATGGGCAACAATAGACTCAACAACTTAAACATATTAGTAATGTCAAAGTGTAAAAGTGGACTATATGAAAATTACGACTGAAACTAAAATTATTATTTCAGCTATTATTGCCTTTATATTTATATTGAATAGAAGTTTTGCTCTTTAATTTGTAGTTAAAATCAAGTAGTAAAGTTGGAATTATTACTCTACATAAATCACTTTTCCAGGATTTCCTCATTATGATTCTGCCACATTCACGATTGAAATGTATATAAGTCATCAGAAATCAGATTTAAAACACACATATACATGCTTGACTGTTTCCATATGCTAATTGCTTACCTTGTGTATCCTGTGGAAGTTAAAACAATTGTCACAGCAGAAGTTTAGTTAATATAAATTTTGTGAAGAAAATTCACTCATTATTTACTATGTGTTATACACATCATTAAATTATTCCATGTAAGCAAATATATATCAACTATTTGCATGATCTATTTTTTTACAATTAGCAACTAATGTTAGCAGTAGCACATTGACTGTGAATTTTTATACTCACCAGATTCCTACAGTAAAAGTATATTATTTCAAAATATATGAGAATAAATACAAACTTTAACTGTAGAAAGTATTAAGGTGTCTGAGCAAAAGACAATAAATAGATCAAATATTTGCAAACTATGTGTTTACTCCTACATGATATTTTTGAATTTTTCAACATTTCAGAAAAGAATTATTAAAAAACCTAACTGGTTAAACATTGTTTTGCAAAATGTTTATAGGGGAAAATGCTCTATTTGCTACTCAGAGTGATTCATAAGACATAGGAGGCATTCGTACAATGGTTTGCATAATGCAAATTCATGTGTGCTTTTTCAATTCAAGGGCAAATGCTAAGCATCAAAATTCATTTACTCAGGCTTCCTTTATCAGTGAATATAAATATTTACTAAAATTAATTTCTCAATAAACATGTGTCTACATTTTGACAATTAAAAAAATCCTTATGTTCTTCAGGACTAAATAAAAATTGTCTTCTTTGGACATTTTACTGAGATTTATTTCAGATAAAAGTGGTTATTTTTACATTCCTCTGCAAAGGTAAATGTGTCTGGCAGGAAGAAAAAAAGATATTTCATAAAGGAAAAACAAAAACAGAACATGAGCCATTTTTAAGTTTGATAGGTGCAAACATTTCTTGACAGAAATATACTCTCTTCTAGCCATAGTTCAGAAGAGACTAAAGAAAGAGAAGAAGGCAAAAAGAAAATTGCAGGAAGCACTGGAATTTGAGACAAAACGACGTGAGCAAGCAGAACAAACCTTAAAACAAGCAGCTTCAACAGAGAGTCTCAGGGTCTTAAATGGTAAGCGTGTACATCTGATTCAGAGCTGGCTTATGTTCAGTTTTCATACCCAGAAGACAGCTTTGTGGTTTCATGCTTTTGTATACCTTGTGATTAAGTTGTACTTGTAGCTTGAAGCATGAGAGGGAGACTAATTCCTTGTGTTGGGTGATATACTATATTTCATAGATGCTTTCTTCGTTTTGTTACTTACTCCTGTCTCTGGCACCTGCCTTGGCTTCTCTAACCAAACATGTCTAATGATCTATAATACGTAATTGATCTGATAACTTCCCAACCACAATCCCTTTTAATAAAAAAAACGACATTTCCTTTTTTATCTGTTCAGATATTTCGATGACTTTCAGTTACTGTTTTTGTTCAACCTTTGCAAGTTGACAAAGATTTATGCAATCTTAATTCAACACCCAAGTAACAGGTTGCTCTTGTTTTTTAAAGGACAATAGGAATCAAATGAAATATGTGTCACTCTTACCTTTCTGTGCTTTTAGACTCTCTGACCCCAGAGATAGAAGCTGACCGCAGTGGCGGCAGAACAGATGCTGAAAGGACAATACAAGGTAGGAATTTGCAAAAGGCTATAAATCTAGATCTTGCTATATGAGTTTTTCCTCAGCTTTAGCCTGCTATTCAAGCATGTAGCCTACCATCTGGGCCACATCAAAACAAGTTCAAACAAGGTCAAGTTCATCTTGCTTGTTTATATGAGTGAATTCATTTTGTGCTGATAGATTTTCTTTAAATTAACAGGTCATTTCTGTTTATACAATGCAATTAAAAAGGAATAATTAATTTTAAACAATGTATGATTTAATCTTGGGCACAGTAAATGTGTTTTATTGAATTCCTGAAGCCCAATCTAATGCAGGAAAGGTTTATAAAATATAGCCTATAGAATTAAAATCCTGTGTTAATCAAATACGTGGTTTTTAAAATGAAAAAAAGTCCTTTATTTTCTGTTTTTGTGAAATAGCATGGTACGTACAAAAAATAGGCTAGTTCAGTGATAATAAAAAGTAAGATTATTTTAGTCCTATGTGAATTTTCTAAATGTTCTGTATGTTATTCTATACATTTTAATAACACAAATATGCTGAGTAAAAGCATATATAGAATACTAAAGGGAGTTGTACTAAACACTCAGAAGAGCTAAATATGTTTTCTGCCAAGACCACACTATTAGAAAGGAAGAAAGTCTGAATGTAACATAGTCTAACATCAATTCTAAACAGTAAACTCAATCTAGCAGCATGAATACTAAGCAGAAAAAAAGGGGTATTTGTTTTCTATTTTAAATGAAGATGTTTCTTCAGAGTAAAGTCAGACACGATTACTGCCCAATTAATCTGCCCAATTCCTTTTATTTTTGCATTGAACCTCAATCATTGTTGGTATATTGTTTGACATTAGTTCTGTTACTTAATAAACTATTATAATTTTGTTCTTAAATTAGTGTAAAGGAAATATACTTTTGTAAAGTTATATGTACAATAAGTACAAGAAACTAGACTTCTTGAGACTACTAAATTAATATTTTAGATCATATACTTGGGTTGTTTGCTATTACAAGGTATCCTGCCAATGTTCACTAATCATTCATAGAGAAAGGAATTCATTTTAGGAACATTATATGAACTTCAATAAAAGTACATGTTAATGCATAATGTTAAAAATTTTAAGATATTTGTTGCATCTTTCTCTTAAGAAAGTACATCCATGTTAGCAAATTGCTGATTTCATAATTAGTCTTCTCAATAAGATCATTGTAAATATCAACCCTGTTTTGTGTGCACAGGGACTAATCATGCATTGATTTAGCTAATGCCCAAAATGAGCCAAGAAAGTACATGAGTATCCATTTAGATATATAAATTGTCTGATATCCACAGGATCGTAAAGTTTGTCAGCACTCCGTGTATGAAATGCTATAAATTATTATTGCATAATAGGACAATTTTGTAAATTTCAGATTGTTCAATGATGAAACATTTTAATTTCATTTTACATATATATATTTTCCCACTGTCTTGAAAATGTGACCATCAGTAAAACTGTAGTTACTAAAATTTGAATCTGTAAAGATTTATTCATATTCAAATATACACTATAACATGGATAATTTCTTGCTTTATACATTTCAAATGATGATAGTTCTATGTTTCTTTTGTGATTTGCCTATTCTAAAGTATATTCTTTTTTTCTATCCAAAATTCTATAGCTACATTACAAAGAAAATTCATCCAAACAGTTTTGTAATTCAGGAAGTAAAACAGTTCAACAATTATACATATTAACTGAAAAGTCAAAAAATCACTGTGGTGTTACTTAAGCTTTGATTTAATTTTGTATAAAATATTTTCACTTTTCTTACTATTTAGTATATTAAAAAGATATGATGCAGGATCAGAGAGATGGTACAGCCGGTAGAGTGTTTGCTTTGCACACAGCCCACCTTGGTTTGATCCCGAGCATCCCATATGGTCCCCTGAACACTGCCAGAAATAAGTCCTGAGTACAGAGCCAAGAATAAACCCTGAGTATCACTGGGTGTGACCAAAAATCAATCAATCAATCAATCAATCAATCAATATATGACCGTTAGGACCAGGGTGATAGTACAGCACATAAGGCTCTTGCACTGCATACAGCCAACCTAGGTTTGATCCCCAGCATCCCAAATAGTTGCCCAAACCTACCAGGATTTATTCCTGAATGCAGAGAGGAATAAACCCTGAGCATTTCCAGGTGTGACCCCCCAAAATAAAAACAAACAAAAAATAAAAAAGATACATTCCACTAGTTTAATAAGAATAATCAGATAATTATATATTTCGAGACTTGCATCTGAACTTAATGATTTTATTATACTGTTTACAGTATGCAGTTTTTATTTAATACAGCACTTCAGCTGTACTTGAATTTACTTAATAACATTACTTTTTTCTCAGATGTAAATTTCTTTTTTAAATGCTACACTGTGTTTTTGTGTAGTTGCCAAATGTTGATTGCCCAACAGTTAAACAACCTGACATTTACAAGAAGAACAGTCATCTTTTGAAACTCATATCCCACTAGATTAGTTCAGGTAGCCTTAAAACCCTAAACTAAATTAATACATCAGTATTCTAATATAATTTTAAAAATTAACAAAGGAAAGCAGACTGCATGTAGTTTTAGTCTGCATGTATGCACTAGAAAGGAAAAAGCAAAGAAGATAGAACCACAACTCATTACCCATTTCTGAAATGGTCTATGGCATGCATTTGGGGAGCTATGAGCATCACCCACTGCTTCATAATTCAAGAATGACATAAACACAGTCTCTTGCTGCCTTCGCTTGCTCTCTCAATGTTCCCAAGCCCAGGTGTTATGATACTCTTTGTATTCTTCCTGACTCCCACTCCAACCATAACTGAAATTATTCTCTGTTCCAAAATAAACTTAAGTTAATTAGGAAACCCACATTTTGTTCTGCTTGTCATATGTTTACTTGTAATGTTTTGACAATAAATAAATTCCAGGTTTGGGCCAATACTTCCAAAACCTAGCAATTGGGCATTGCAACACTTCTCAAGTTCAAGTAATTATCCATCAACTATCACCCCCAAATAAGGACCTCAGATTAGACTAATGTATTATTTTTATTTACAACAGCTTCTATAAATATATAAAATAGAGGAAGATAGGTAGTAACAGGAAATAAATTTAAAAAATCTTACTGAAAATATTCCTGGATTACAAAAGAGGTAATTTATGATTATTTTTTTCCTCAGAATAAGAAAATCATAAAGTAGTTTAGAAAAACATTTAAATGATTGAACTTTCTTAATATGAAAGGTAAATCAGCACATTGTACACTTGTATACAGGGTTAATCTTTCATTGCTTATATTTCTAATAATTAACTAAAAATTCATACTTGGCATGAATATGTTCTGAATAAATAAGAAAAGATTTTAAAACAGCAACGTGTAGGACTATATTTTGTGGCAGTTAACTCTCATACATGAATCTTAGAGATCATTATGACATTCGTTTCAAGAGCTTGAAAATGTTATCTATTTAGATTTGCATTAGGTCACTTGATGTTTTAGAACAGATGATCACTCCTTGACCTGTGTTTTTTGACCAGTAAATAACCTCCAAAACTCATTCTCCCCTCACATGTGTACTGTACATGCTTATACTGTATGTGGTCAAGTTTATAATGATATCTTTCTTCAGCTAAGTTATATAGTCTTTTGTATATACTCTCTCTAGAGAGTGCCATCACTTAAATGGCTTACTTATCATATTCCAACAATTAAAAGAGTTTTCTCTATCTCATGCAGACATCTCTTAAAAGCCCCAGACAACATTCAGTTTTCATTTGGCTGTCTCATGGGAACCTTAAGGTCCACTGCACAAAATTGAAAGGATCCTCTTCTTTTTTTTTCCTTTTTTTGCAAAACCGCCTTACTCTCAGCTTCTTTTTTGATGGTCTCCTTTATCTGTTCTGTTCAATATTCTTTCCAATACATTCTGAGGAAAAAGTAGAGCATGCATTTCCCTCCTTTACCCCTCCATGTCGCCGCACTAATTCCCTTCTCATGCTCAGTGATTCTGTCATACTGAATTTTTTCCCTAAACCAAAGTCACACATCTTCGTCCAACTATTAGGTACATGTTTCCTTCATAACATCTTTTCTTACCCATCCTTCCAGGTCTATTCAGAAGTTATTACACCACAAAAGCTTCCTAACATTACACATGGTTTTGAAACATCTCTCTGCCTCTTTCATTTTTTTTTTTTTACTTTTCTGCGTTACACCCAGAGATGCTCAGGGGTTACTCCTGGTTCTGCACTCAGGAATTACTTCTGGCGGTGCTTGGAGAACCATATAGGAAGCCAAGGATTGAACCCATTTCAGCTGTGTGCAAGGCAAACACCCTACCTTCTGTACTACTGCTTTGCCCGCCCCCCCCCCCCACACACACACACATACACACGCACATACTCCAAGTCTTAAGGCTCCTTTCAGGGGTCATTAGCACAGAGGATGGGGACTTATAAGCAGTACCCAAGGGAGCACTGGGCCTAACAACTTTTTCCCTCTTCATAGTAATCTTCTGTGTATGTGTCATAATTTGCTTGATGTCTTTTTCTCTTCCAGAGAGTATCCAAGCAAAACCATAAAACTTTCCTATTCTGTTCATAGCTATGCCCCATATCCTTGACCTGTACATGCACACGGATGTGTCAGAGGTTCATATCAAACTTAGTTTGTCATGCTTGGCAAATCATGGTATTCACAACGCAGTCTAAAGGAATATTACTACCATTGATGAACTAACATGTTAATCTAGGGGCTGGAACAATCATACAGGATGAAGGGGCATACCTTGCTGTGGCAGGCCCCAGTTTGATCCTTAGCGCAACTTTGTCCCCAAAGCATTATTAGCTGTGCTCTGGTGGCTCTCAAGCACCTCCAGGTGACCCCCAGGTAATTCCTAGCACCACATGTAGTCTTGAAATGAACTGCTGGCCCAGTTGGCTAAGAACCCTGGGATTGGCTATCAGC